TCCTCAACTGTCAGTGTTTCTTTATAAAATTCATTTATAATACTTTGCAATCCTAATCTTCTCCCTCTTCATAATTAATAATATTATCTAAATTTTCTTTTAACTTGGGAAAATCACTTTCCAAAATAAGTTGTTGAATTCTGCCTTATTTTTTATTGTTTCTTAAAAATGGCAAACTTTTCAATTAATAAATTAATTTTCATAGGTAATCTTTTCTTTTTTTAGATAACTTCAAGTGTCTGAGTGTCATTTATTTTGAAGATTTTTTCATCTTGTTCTTTCTTCAAAACGCTTCTAATTATGCTGTAATTTTTGGGTTCCATAGTAGATCTGATACAAATTAATCATGATTGTAATACAATTGTGGTGTTTCACTTTGTCTGGTTTTGTTGCAACATTTCCCATATAATGATATACAAATAACCACAACCTTGTGATTTTTCATAAAAAGGGCCTCTTAAAATATACAAAATAGTATGCTTTGTCCATCTTTTTTTATGCTTGTTATTGATGGGATCACCAGAGATTTATTTACATAATGATAACTATTATAATTTTAAAAAATAAAAAGCAAAGTTAAAAATAGGAACATTTATCAAATGAAAGATATATACCATACATTAATGGTCTAATAATTCCTAAACCATGTAGTCTATGTACTAATTCTGATGGTTTCTCAACATCTTCAATAAATAAAGCTTTATTCATTAAATAATTATTTATATCAATGAAAAATAGTTGAAATACTATCATAACTATGATTAGTATTTTTTCCATCCAATTATTGGATTCAATACAATCGAATCATTAGCAGAATATAATGTTGAGGAAGAATATGTTGTATTAGGTGGTAGTGGTAGTATGGTGCTTGCTGCAGAATTTTAGCAGGTTACACACTAATTGTTTATTAGAGTTTCAGCAAAGTTTCACATTTGGGGGTTTCGGCAATTGGCAGGGTTTCAGCAAGATCCATACTAATTTGTTTATCCGAGTTTCAGCAGAGTTTCAGCAGTCATTAAGAGGTTTTGACAAGCAACATTAAGTGGTAGTGGTGTGTAATTATTATTATTATTCTGGATTGAAAATGCGAGGATCAATTTTTCTTCCAAGTATTGATGGATATACTGTACAATTATGGGCATTGTATAATAATATAATTCTATTAATTATTTTATATATATATATTATATCTCCGTTTAGCTTCTAAAGCAAACAATGAATACTGATATGTTTTTGATGAATTATATCTTTAGGTTTAAGCTTTTTATAAGGTGGTAATTTCTCCAATGCTCTAACCAGTATTGAATTGTAGATTTTCATAATCTAAATAATAAAAAAAATAAATTTAAATTAAATCTATTTATTGGTTTCTTTTAAAAAAAAATTTTTATTACTATTATAAAAAACTCGCCCAATGCTTGAACGAATCATTTGAACGAAAGGGAAATATACTTCATTAGTTAACAAGGCCGAGTTTTGGTGAAAGGGCCAGAGGCTGAAACATTTTAGATTTTAAGGAGCAACCAACAATGTCAGAGTAAAATTGATCCTTATGTTATGCTAGTTTTACTATTTTTGTATTTGATGTTAAGATTTCGTGCAACTGTATTTTAATTTGTGTTTATATAAAATTTTCATTCATATATTATTTTTTCATTCATTCATTTTTAAAGCTTGCTACTTTTTTTTAAAGCAATTTATTATTACATTATTGTATAAACTCTTTCGATTTAACAATGGCTACACTAGAAAAGCCTTTGAAAGGACGTTCAAAAGTAAAAAGGGTAAATGAGATTCAAATCAGTAAATAATAAAATTAGAAAAAAATAAAATAAAAATTATTACTTATTTGTCCAACTTTATTATCATTAGAGGTCTACTATGCCAGCAAGCATAGATAGAATAATAAATCGAACAGAAGATATTGGAATTAGTACAAGTATTACTCCACCAACACTACCACATTTAGAATTTGAAAGTAACGATTATCATATTTTGGATTTATTGTCAAATGAAAGTTTTACAGGCATCGAATTTGCACCTGAGAAACCCAATACTCCATTAGCTGAGGCTTTTGAACAAGAACATTCTGATATAAATAATGATACTAATGTTGATGCTGCTGCTAATTCAAATGTAACAACAAATGACGAATCATTGAATTTACAAACTTCAAATATTCCATCTTTCGAACAAATTATTCAAAACGTAGAAGGTGATGATGGGATTTACAATACATTGAGAAAAGAAAATGCAACCTTAAGTGACCTGCAACAAGGTTTAACTACACAAATAGATGTTACTGATGAAATATGGAATGATCTTGATTGTTTAACAGATGTTGTTGCGAGATTGTGTTATGAACAATCAATGAACGATCCACCACCTAGATATTCATATAACTACGATGAAAAGAATTTATCTACAAAAAATGACCTGCCTAAATATTCGTCATCTGTACTGTTTAATTCAAATCTAATTGGCAATGAAAAGGCTCAGCGTGATTTGGAATATGTTATTTCTGCAATACAAAGAGTCTATACCGTTGCACCACAACTTGATAATCAAAGGGTTGAGCTCAACAGTCGTCAGAAAAAAGAAATCATGGCAGCAGCTATATCAACAACCATACAAAAATTATCTAGAGGTCGATATGAAGAACAACGTGCAGAATCTTCTTCGAATTTAAAACATCAAACTTTAAATAAGTTGATTGAACAGATTATTAAATCATCTGAAAGGAGTTTTTTGGATCAACGTGTGGAACTTAATTCACGGCAAATAAAAAATTTTGAAATTGCAAAATTAGACGGGATTGTTGAAAAACTTGGAAAGAATCGGATGACAAATCAAGTAATTAACTAATTTTAGAAATATCAAATTTTTTCCTACCTTTAAATATATATATATTTTTTTTTTACAAACGAACAATTAGGATTGGCATCCACCTGAGCAACTTTTTATCAAAGATTTAACAAGATTAACCGATGAATTTGCTAAATCAGCAACAAATTCTATGTACGCTTCTCAACGTTTTCATCTAACACCAGCAAAAGAGAAGGATATGTTTATGAATAGTGTATTTAAAAGAGTTGAGAAGTTACATTCTTATCGAATGGTTAATCAGGATGCTGATCCACCTTTCGTACGTCGTGAACAAGAAGCAGAACAAATGGTTTCTAAAATGCAATATAGTCCATCGATGGATAGTCAACGTGCAATTTGGAGTCCAAAAAGAACATCAAATTTAGTTTAATTTAATTTTTCAAATTTGTAAATTTATTAATTTTATAGATTGAAGAAATTTATTTATACCATTATAATTTATTAATATTAATATTCTATTTTAGAAATATATAATTAGTTAATTAATAACGTCAAGCGCCTAATTCAAAATAAGAACTTGGTAAAAAATTATTCACACACATATATTTTTGTATTATATAATTTTTTAATTGTTGTTATCAAATAAATACGTGACAAGGCGTTTAGTTTGTGTGTGAAATTCCTTTTGATTGGCTAATTAATTTTACATTTGGCAAATTCATAGATTTCATTCCAACTTTGGCACCTGATCTTTCAAGCGAAATATCAAATCATGTCAAAGAAGGCTATATTCATATCTTCTATTCAACAAAGAATTACACAACATTAATATCCTAATTTTGTGAAGAGATCCATTCTATTTTGAAGGAAGTACTCGAAATGTTTATCAATAGAAGATAAAGATTTCTTAACAACAACATTAACTAAATTTTAAATTGTTGGAGTATCACCATTACATACAACTATGTAAAACTTACTACTGAATTAAAATTTCATGAAATTAAAGCCATAATTTGGTCAAGGTAGTAATGGCTGATTCCAATAATAAAAATATTAATTGAACGATTAAAAAATAATTCGAAGATACGATTTGATAACTAGACATAATGGATTTGGCATTTGCTTTATAAATTAGACGTCAATTATTTTTAGTGTAGCAAAAATATTCAAGTTTTAGCTGTAGGATATCCAAATTTTTCAAAAGCAATGTCAAATCACTCAATATCAATAGTTTCGTATATTAGTTCTGAACGAACTGAATTGAGCGAATAAACCGGTTTCTAATTTTGAAAAAATAAAAAATTATGGAATTAGTAAGAATATTCCAATTTTTAAACGCTGAACCTGGATATTTTTTTTTGGAATCTTCCAGGCCTGGAAATAATGCAAATATAAAGTTGTTTAATAAAAATATAACTTTTATTATGTAATTTGAATTTAGTAGCCACATAGACCGCGCGATTTAAAAGAATTTTCATTGATTAATTTATTTAAATGCTCAAATTCAAATATTCGGATCGGCCTTTGCTCAATGTTATTATTATTATATTATATTACAAATTAAAATATTTGACTCGAACTTGTAAGTATTATCTATTTATATAAAAGAAACTCACTTTTATTAATTCTTATTTGTGAAACGATATTAAAATAATAGTTGACAATATCTCGCCCATAATAAAATACAAAAATGCACAACTTTATTAATATCCCTATAATTCAAAAAAATCCACATTCATATTATTACTGGGATAACATATATTTTTTTTACCAAAGTAATTAATAATAAGAATAGGCAAATAAATCTTAATATTAAATTTGTTATTAGGGGAAGAGAAAGTTGTTTAGCGAACACTATATTATTTGAATAATAATCAAAATATAAATGGGTAAAAATAACATAATGTTATTTTTTTTTTATAGAGCAACAAAAGGTAAACAAACATTCGAAATTTCGACAATTAAATATTGATTATCCCAAAATTTTTGTAAATCTAATCTTGACTTAAATAAACTCTTCAGATTATCTTCAATTTTGTTTGTAATTATGGTGGTGGTAGTGGTGGTTGAAAGTAATGCTAAATCTTGTGGAAATGTGAAACTTAACAACAAGTGTCTAATATTCATTTTTAAATTAGTGGTGTTTGATTAATAAAAAAAAGGTTTATTTTTTCTCACATTATATATATATACCTGGAACTTTCTTCTTTACCGAAACCCGGAATGTTCTGATTGTATTTTAAAAATAATTGAAATAAAATTAATCCTTGATTTCCTAAATTATTTTTCTTGTCCACGTTATTCTCAACGTTTTCATCCTCATCCTCATTAACAATGAAGCCAAAATCCAATGCATAAATTACGGGATATTCAAGTATCCAACCAGTAAACGTTATAATGCAAGATGGGGTTTTTGATAAATATAGCACAAATCCTTCGCCATTAACATCATTATCGTGCAGCTGATTTTGTTGTTGTTGTAATCGAAGGTAAGGTTGTATTTTTGTCATTAGGAAGTTTATAAATGAATTGGTTGGGTTTACCTGAGACAAAAATGAGAAAATTTGGAAAAGGGTTATCAATTGTTCCGCTTTCCACTTTTTTTTATCGTTAAAAAAATTATACCTGTGTTGGCTTATCATTTTTAGATGAAACATTAACAAAAAAAATATCTTTAATTTGGCTATTGTTACTATTATTGTTATTGTTATTAAAATAATCAATTTCTTCAAATTTTTTTGCAATCAAGTATTTATTGCAAATAAATGTGTGAGTGTTTGAAAATTGTAAAGCAAATATATGTAACAATAAATCACCCTAAAAAGTTACTATTAATTAATGACAGTTATTTAGGATATATATAGAAAAAGAAGAGAACTTACTTTTATTTGTCTTAAAGATGTTAAAAATGTTAAAGTTTCTTGATGTGTTAAAAACATTATATCAACCAAATGTGCACAACTAAATGGGAAAGGTGACAGGATCAATTAAATATAAATAGATATATAGTTGTGTATATATATATTAATATATATATAAGTATATTTACCGAATTCCTAAACTTACAGACACAACATCTACCAAACAAAATATAAAATATAAAATCATTTATTGTTGAGAAGATTATTTATTAATTTATTTAATATAACTATTATTTACCATTAATAAAATTTGATATTTTATTTCTTTGCTTAATTTTTTTTGTATATAGAAACTGAGAAATAATACATGATTTTACATGTTGATAAATCAATGTTGATAATTCTAAATCATAATGACAATGTTGCACTTTGTCGGAATTCATAGTAAATAGTAAGAAAGAAATTTTGATGTTGCTTATTATGTTATGTATTACTTATTATTAATTATTATTTCTTACTGTTATTAAATTGTTAGTATTAATGTAATATTACTTATTACCTGCTCAAAAAAATTTTCTTTGGAAAAAGACCTATAGATCAAATTTGGGTTGGTATGCTGCAACAATTAATATTAAATTTATTATATAATACTAGTAACTAGCTTGCCATTGGTCAAAATTATACAATAATAATAAAATTCTTACTATTAACTTTCATCTACTCGCAGATGTTTAACATTGAAGATACTAAGCGAGAATTGGGGTTGGCAAAGAGGAAGGGCAAGTTTGATATCCAGAAAAGGTATTAGTCAAGCCATAACGTACATACTGGTAAATATTTTATGACAATTGTGCAAAATCATTTTCCATCCATTCCATTTTGTTCATCTCTTTATCCATTTGGGAGAACACTTGATATGCAGTTTGCAATGTTAACTAACCTTGTGCTTCTTTTTTATCTTCATCATCCTTTCATCCACACATCCGCTCATTTCCCTTATCTCTCTCTCTATTTATTTTGTATCGATTCATTTAATTTTTTGTGATACTTTTCCAAATTAATCAAATTAATACAACTATTTTATAAGTGCTCCAATCAAAACAGTGAAAAAAGCTAACAAATGATGTAAAGATTATTACAAATAAAAAAAAAACTTTTTGCCAAAAAAATTACAGCACCAGCCATTAATAAAGTAATACTTGTTGTTATAAAAAGAAAAGTCAATAGGAATGTTAAATATATGGCATTTAATACCGTCACTCCATATGTAAACCAATTAAAGTGCAAACCCCCCAAAGAAATGGATTGTTCTTTGTAAATAATACTATCTAGGATGTATAGTAATCTCTTTATTCTTTTGTGCTGCATGCATGACTTGATAATTTCTTTAGTTTCAGCAATTAGCCAGACCCCGAAAAATTCATAAAAAAAAATCATGGTTGACTGACTCGCACTGATTAGTAAAAATCTGGTAATTTTTCGTTTTTACTATATATAAATAAGAATTGGTCCAACTGCAGCAATAAATTATCTATATAGTTTCGGGGTGTCTTTAACTTGTTATTTTTTTTTTTTTGAATTGGTCACCCCTGAGGTTTTCCTGGTAAAACTAATAATTAGGATTACTCAGTTTCAAAGACTGATCTTGTTTTGGAGAACAAAGGACGCTCGATCTTTGGACTGGTTAGAGACCGATTTAATGGTATTTTGAATGTGAATTACATATGAATTAATAATAAATAAAAACTTTGGGATTAAATTGCGCGCATTGACCCATTAAACTCGTTTATTTATTAAGAATTATTTACTATTTGATTTTACTTTGAATTCACGCAAAATCGCTCTTGCTGTTTGTTGGCTCCAACCTGTTCCTTTGAGATGGAAAAGGCAGATCGTATATAATCAATTAATTGCTTATAGCAACAATTGATCAGCTTCGTAATACTAAAAACAAAAAAATTTTATACCATTTTAAAAAATTAACCGATGAGTTTTATTGTTCATGATCCAAGCTTCAAAACTTGTCGGCCAATTTTTTCTTAAAATAAAAATTGGCAGAGCCTTAACATTTAAAAATTCCAAATTTTGTTATCTGATTAAGAAGTAAATTTCGTGTGACAAAATTTTTTTTATAGAATATTTTCTACAACATATACTGATTTAAAAGTTCTTTACAATAAAAAAGTTAATAGATGATGATCTGCATTGTCACATTTTATATCCAATAAAATCAAACTTCCATCATGCTCAGAAAGAGTAATTGTTTGTTCAATCAATTCTTTGCAAAAGGAAATAATATAAAGAATTGTGTAAATAAAGAATTATGAATAAATAAACAGATGAATAATAAATGGATTAGTGCTACTTTCAGTACAAAAAAAAATCATTTTCTCCACTCTATTCAATAAAACACAATAGATTTAGTCAAGTCAAATTTTTAAATTTTATAAATATATTTATTTTTATATGATGTCTTATAGTAAATTATTATCATTGATACCACTAGAAAGAAGGAGTTTTGTATTTAAAATTGATAATGAAATGCTTAATAATTCTCTAATGAGTTCTGAAAGAGAAAGTAGAAAAGATTATTATTTTTCATTAGTCAAAAAAAACAAGGAGCTTTCTGAGAATGAAAAAGAATATTGTAAAGAATGGTTTCTTTATAGTTTTGAATTAAATAATGTAACGTATAAATTTGGCAAACCAAAAGAATGTAACAAGTGTAAAACAACAAGATACTCTGATAGATTCTGTGGAGGATGTATTACTTTACAACTACAGACTCTTTTCACTACTTGGACATCTGGAAATAACATGATTGATGATTTTATTCAACAATGTCAAATGAAATCATCTCTGCCAACTGAAATCATAGAATGGATACCTTTTGAGCAATTTGAAAAAGTAACAAAATTGACAGAGGGTGGATTTAGTTCAATTTATACTGCTACATGGACAAGGGGGTATATAATCGATTATGATGAAAATAAAAAGGAATTTAGTTATTATTATGGAGGGAAAGGTATAGTATTAAAAAGTTTAAATGATTCAAGTAATCCAGGTCAAGCTTTTTTTGATGAGGTTGGTAATTTTTATTTAAATCAAAAATAAATAATGCTGTATTATATAATACTAATTGATTTTATATTTATTTTCAGGCAATAAATTATTGTAAAATTAAATCAGGGTTAATTAATCCTTGTTATGGTATAACTAAATTCACAGATAATGGAAATTATGCAATAGTTTTAGATTATGCTCCAGAGGGAAATTTAAGGGGTTATTTGAAAAAAAATCATTTTAATTTAACATTAAAAGACAGAATTATAATCTTTGATTATTTATGTGATGCATTAGATAATATACATGAAAAAGATTTAATCCATTGTGATTTACATAGTGGTAATATACTTGTGCAAGGAGGTAATTGTTATATAACCGATTTAGGATTATGTGGACCAGTTGATGGAAAATCATCAAATAAAGTCTATGGGATTATATCATATGTTGCACCTGAGCTACTTAGAGGCAAAAAGAACACAAAAGAGTCTGATATCTATAGTGTTGGGATGTTAATGTGGGAAATATTTGCAGGTCGTCCACCATTTGATGATAGAGCTCATGATCATTGTTTAATTTTTGATATATGTGCAAAAGGTTTACAACCACCAATATTACCAGGAATGCCTGACGATTACTCACAAATGATGCAGAGATGTTGGGATGTGGATCCATCAAAAAGACCAACTAGTGGAGAGCTTAAGAACTTTGCTTATAATAAAAATAAGGAAATTCATGATAATAAAAGTTTGAAAAATAATAGTAGCAATGATAGTTTAATAAAAAAATTATTCAAATTTTCTAAAATCAAAAAACATAAAAATGGGTTTAATAATGATTGTAACAGCAGCAGCAGTGGTAGTGGTAATGATTTGCAACAAATACACAAATCACATCCAGATGCATATCATACAAGTAGAATATTAGATGAAGAGATTGATAGATCAAAAAACTTTAAAAGTTATATAAGCAATGACAGTTCATTAAATGATCTTAACTCTCTTCTCTAAAATGTTAACAAAAATTCCATTATTAATTAATTAGAAATTTCTATCCATTAATTATTACTAGCAATTTGATTGATTAATAAACATTAGATTCTAGTAATTAAAGATAAATATAACTATAACAAATAAATTTATAGTGGAGCTATTTTTTCTTTTTTTTATTTTATTTTTATTTATAAACAACATTTTGAAGTAATAAACTTTTTACAGTTTCCTGATGGTGATATTTCTAGGTAGTTTTTGGTTAATGCTATTACGGCTTAACTTTTGGGATTAGTATTGGTGAATAGTTTCCGGGGTCCTCCCCCATATGTTAGGGATTTTCATGACTGGCCAATAATATTAATATTTTGAGTAGTGTCATGTGGTCAATCATATTACGTAATACTAATACCATTTCTAATAATTATTTTTGATAATAATTTCTTTATATAAAGACAAAATTTAACCTTTACTGATAATGTTAAAAATACGATCTTATAATCTATACACAATATATAATACTACCACTACAAAAAATTTTATTATCTCAGAATGAGTGATAAAGAAACGTCTAGAAACGGAGGTGTAGACGATGAGTTGTCACTTCCAAAAGGTATTCTACTCATTTAAAAAAAAATTTATTTTAATCTATTTATCAATTAAAAAAATTTTATTGTTTGTATTTTATAATATAATATAAAAGCGACTGTTACAAAGATTATTACAGAAATGCTTCCACCTGATATTGCTTGTGCTAAAGACACCCGTGATTTGTTAATAGATTGTTGTGTTGGTAAGTGATAATAATTGTATGTATGTATATATATATATATAATGCATATATATATATATCTGATATAATTTATAAAATTGGTTTTTCCAAACAAAATTTTTAGAATTTATTCAATTGATTGCTTCAGAAGCAAATAGTATTTGTGAAAATGAAGCAAAGAAAACGATTGCAGCTGAACATGTTTTTTCTGCGCTTCAAGTATGTATTTGATAATATTAATATAAAGATTTTTTTTTTAAATAAAAAAATTTTAAATTCTTCCAAACTTTTTTTTTAGAAATTGGGGTTTGAAAATTATCTTACTGAAGTACAAGAAGTATTTAAAGAACATAAAAGGCTTCAAAAGGTGATGAATTAAATATTTTATCTAGACAAATTAGGAAGGGTTACATAATAATGGCATTAACTTTTTGATAATAATCAATAATCAATATGGATTAATAGGATCGAGACAAGAAAAGCTCTAGATTAGAAAATTCTGGCATGACCGAAGAAGAATTATTAAAACAGCAAGAAGATTTATTTGAGCAATCACGTCTCAAATATCAAGCACAACAACAATGATAAAAATTATTTATTTTAAATTTTTATTTTATATATTATATATATGTATATGTAACTGGTTGATAAATATGTAAATTGGGCTTTTTAATTCTCTCTTCTTTAAAGCACATGAAAAAATTAAACTAATTTGGAAATTTTATTATATGGGTCATATTTGCAACAAAGCGAACATCAAATTCAGTGGCCAAAAAAAAATTTTAAATCCAAGTAATGCAAATCACATAAATAGATAAAGAATCCTTTATTAGCAATATCAGTACTGCTATAATTCTTGTTAGTGTAAAACAAACCCAATATCAATATCAATATTATAAATCAATATCAATATAAAAATAAACCACAAATACTAACAAACGTTCAAGTGAATTTTTGGTGTTGGCTTTTTACTGTATCATCAAATCTACAAAAATCAGCTCTGTAATATCAAACAATATAGATAAAATAATTAATCTAGTGGAACCCATAAAAAATACTCAAGGGAAATTTAAAAGTTGTGGGAGGATTTCAAACAATTGTTTGATAAAAGGCAAATTTTTCATTTGGTGAAATGAAAATTGAAATCCGTGAATTATATGGCGGAGAAGGAAAGGGAGTTACCGCCTCCACTGCAAAAAAACTTTTATCAACAATAAAAGAATCAAAAATGGAAAATATGAATAAAGAAGATACTAATATTGGCAATAGTGAATGATAATATTAATAATAATAGTGGATATATATATATATATATTTTTCCCTTAGTTGAACCAAAATAATTCTTTTTAGTTGTCATTTAATTCTTTCCTTGAATGTGAATGCCTTTGTCCTCATTATCATATCATGTATATTCAATGTGCGTGCGAATTATCCACAGCACCACAATTTGTTCACGGGATAACTTATACTATTTAAAAAGGCGTATTGACTGATTAGATTTTCTTTTATATAGCATGTAAAATTACCAATTATTAAAGATGATTTTAGGTACAGAACAGATCCGAGCCGGCTCTTTAAAATATTTATTATTATTATATAAAATTTAATTAATAATATCCGTTATAGAGGGAGATTTCAAATTTTTTTTTTAAGCGTGATAATTGCGAATGTCGATCAAATCAAACTTATTCTTGTGTTATAATTAATTAATTGAAGTCATCAAAGTGTGGTATTTGTTACACTTTTTTCTCAGTCTTTTTTAAAATGTTTACTTCAAGATCTGGTTTAAAATGTTTAAAATTATTTATTAAAGGTATTTAGTTCAATGTTTGGAGGAGCTTTTGACCATTGATCAGAAGTGAATTTACCAATAATAATAATAATAATAATAATAATAATGATTGTTTTGTAGAAAATCATTACTCAATAATTTCACCGAGATTGATCACAGGAATTTCTGGGAAAAAGAAAGGTTAATTAAAATTATTTGCCCATGCAGGAATTCAAATATTTTTAGCAAGTAATTATTCAAATGTTTATTTTTATTATCTAAATAGAAATTTCTAATATTCAATTAAGAAGTTTAACAACTGAAAATAAAGAGATTACAACATCAAAGGCTAGGATAACGAAAAGTTATGCAGGAGATTTTGCGCTTGCTCAACCTGCAAATACTGCAGGTAATTATAATTATAATCATAATCATAATAACACAATCAATGTGTAATAATGTTGCATAATGTAATTAATTGATTATTTTATTTGTCTGTTTTAGAATATGTTTTATCAACTGTTGATAAAGTGATTAATTGGGCTCGTCAGGGATCAATCTGGCCAATGGTAAAATAAAGAACACTTGCTATTTTTATTATTCTTGATCAAACGACTTGCTAATAAATATTATAATTCTTTATTTTAGACGTTTGGTTTGGCATGTTGCGCTGGTAAAATATTGAATTAATCATTAATGTCTAAAGTTTTTTTTTTTTTTTTTTTACAACTTAACTAACGAAAAGATTACAATAATCAGTTGAAATGATGCATATGGCAGCATCAAGGTACGATCAAGATCGTATTGGTATTGTTTTTCGTGCATCACCGAGACAATCTGATGTTATGATTGTAGCTGGTACTTTAACAAACAAAATGGCACCTGCGCTAAGAAAAGTTTATGACCAAGTAATTAAGCAAATTAAAATGATTGATTTATTAATCAATCTAATTAATTTACTTTTTTTTTTTTAAAAAAAAAAGATGCCTGAGCCTCGTTGGGTGATTTCTATGGGTTCATGTGCAAATGGAGGAGGATATTATCATTATTCTTATAGTGTTGTTAGAGGGTAATTGAAATATAATGAATATTTGAATTAATAATGATATTATTATGACTAATTATTAATAGATGAATTGTTTATGATTAACAGATGTGATAGGATAGTTCCTGTAGATATATATGTTCCAGGATGTCCACCAACGGCAGAAGCTTTACTATACGGTGTACTTCAATTACAAAAAAAGATGAGAAGATCTAGAGTTCGTTATTGATATTATTTTTTAAATAATTATTTTGATTTATGTTGTAATAAAAATATTGATTAATCCTTCCTTTCCCTTTGATTTTATTTTTTTTTTCTTAAAATTAGACAACACAACTTTGGTACAGAAAATAAACTGATATTTATTTATCACAAACGTTATTATGTTTTATAATTATTCAATGAACATACCAAGAAATTACTCGGCATTATTTAAAAAAAAAAATAAAAAAATTTTTGGTCAATGCGATCGATCTTAAATAACCATTGATTTCCAAATTAAAAGCTCTTCTAGTAAGTGTATCTCCTCTTGTGGCACCAACAATTCATCAATTAGATCATATAAGCTATCATTTGGCGGAAGTCTTACACTGGCTCCATGCCTCTTGGACGGCATAGAAACCTTTTGTTTAAGTGCCTCGGTTTTTTTGGAATGTTGCTCCACAACATAAGGTGTTCATTTAACTGCACTGCATTTGTATAATCTATGAATTCTTATCTCAAAATGATTATGTGATTCACATCCTGAGCAAAAAAAGGGAATTCACGTTCTTTAATGTTAAAGGGTAATATCATGATGTAATCATGGGTACGTTTTTAAGCTAAAAGAACCCTTGCGCAAAGTTTGAATAAATTTGGTAATGCAAACATTAGGACTATATTTAGTAATTTATCTGCAAATCTTGTAAATTTTGTAAATTTTTGTTGAACGTTCTAATTTCCAACGTTTTTATACTGCCGCTATTTGCAGAAGATAGAGAAAAGATCTTGCTCGAGTAGGAAAAGGCCACACACTATTGTTTATATTTATTTACCTTTGTTTTTTTTAATTCCTTTTCAATAAAAAATTAGATCTACGCAAAAAATATGATTTAATATTAATATTAATTGGTGTAACATGAATTTTTTTTTATAAAAAAAAAAAATGATAAAAAAGCCAAACAGTTCCATTAGATTACCGGTTGAATGTGTTGAAGGAATCTTGCAATTTCTTGAGGATGATATAGAATCACTTCATTCATGTGTTTTAGTTAACCGACTTTGGTGTAGGTCAGGAATTTCATTACTATGGAGCCAGCCATTTTCATTTGTTGGGAGACGAGCACATAAAATTATAGATGTTTACATATTGTTTCTAACTGATGAAAAAAAAGAAGTGTTAACCAATATAGGATTTAATAATATCATCGATAGTGATAACAATAATGACAATGAAAACAAAAAAACATTATTTAATTATCCAAAGTTCTTTAAAAGACTAGACATTAACGGGTTAAGAAATTCGATAAGATGCTGGCTAATCAATTATTACTACGATAATTTAAAACACGCTAAAATTTACGTGGCTTTTATTGCAGAGTTAGATGATCGTCTAGATTTATTACAAAATTTAATTGTCGATGTACTATTTGATAATATTAATTATTTAAAATCTTTAAAATTTAATCATGATGAAGAAGAAGAGGACGAAGAAGATTCGTCTTTTGATATCACAACATTTGCAAAATCCAAAACGATTCTTTCAACACTCGAAGAATTTTTATTTTATTATTCAGGATTAGTAACAGATAGAGAATTTGAAATTGTTGGTAATTTATTTATAGATTTAACGGAATATTCTTCTAGGATTGAGTATGCGCATATAGATTTTAATGGGTTACCTGTTGAGCCCATAGATCTTGATGAATTTGATTCACTGATTTCATTATTTTTAGAGTCGCAGAATTCTTTAAAAGATCTAACCATTGCAATATTATGGTCGAATTCTGCAGCTTCTTTAGTAATGCAAAGTTTATCTAGTGATTTATTATCAAACTCTCTAAGATATTTAAAGCTTCACCAGCTATCACAAAATAGTTATCATCAGTTATTAAGTATTTTGCACCTATTAAACAATTTAGAAACTTTACAAATAATTGGGTTTTACGAGGAGAATATCGAAGATTTGAAGGAATTCAGTGATGATGATGACAAATTAAAACCGATTAATTTAAAAAATTTACATTATGAGGGATCCGGATCAGAATATGACATATTTATTTCATTACATCCCATAATCATAATGTCTAGCTCTAATTTAAAAACATTATCAACCGATTTCGTTACCACAGAATTATTAGAAACAATTTCGAAATATTGTGTAAAGTTAACACATTTGTCAATTTCTTTAATAATAAATGAAATACCCGAGATATTATTCAGTTTATTTGATTCACTTAAAAATTTAAACCATTTATCAATCTATACAAACTCGGCAGATGTTCCATTTACCTCAACCGAAAATTTATCAACATTTTCTAGAAAAATTCCCAAAACTTTAAAATATTTTGGGTTTGATTTTTTAATTTCTCCTGATATATTAGATTTTTTCCTAAAAGAATGCAGAGCTTCGTTACAAGCATTAGCTATTTACAGGAGCGAGATGGTTAATGAGGAATTGTTAATTGTCATTGAAAAACATTTTAAAGAGAAAAAATCTTTAAAACGATTATTAATAGATCCTCCTGATTGTGATTTCCAAATGAATAAATACGAAATACCAATCATTTCAGGCACAATCGATCCTTGTTATCCTTTCAGCGGGTAAGTTTCATTAAAATTCTTTGCTTTTATTTTCTTAATTTACAACAGCGCACGTGTATGTATGTATGTATATTAATCATTTTCTCAAAACAGACCTTCCACAAAAGAATATGAAAACAAATGGGATAAAGATATTTTTGTTGATTTCGATAATGAATTATGATATCAATTAAAAATAAAAATAAAAATAAAATATATATAAACATATAAATATACAAATATGAATATGAATATAGATATAAATATAAAAATATAAAAAACATAAATATAAATATAAAAATATAAAACATATAAATTGTATCATAATTTAGTGTAAAAAAATATCAATAAAATCCAAATTTATAATATATTTATAATGTTTCTTCAATGACTTTGATTCCTTCTTTTTCTAAAGCCTCTATTATTGGATTGTTAATTTCTGGCGTATATGGAGCCAAGACACCAGGCTTTTTTATGATGCCTTCGATTTAAAGATACAAATATATTTGTTAAATATATTATACAAAATATAAAATATAAAAATATATATTTTAAAAACTACCATCTAATATCAACTGAGTTGCAATTCCACAAGGAAGGCCTACAGTAGTAGCCATCGCAGATGGACCACATGGTTTACCATATTCTAATAAAGTTGAAGTCCGTGTTTCCTTTTTTTTAAAAAATAACAAAAAATCAACCAATTGTCCATTTTTTTTTCAATTGTGTGCATCATCACAAATATAAAATTTTGAATTCACCTTTTTACCATCTTTCCACTCAATCTCGAATTTATGTTGTAGAATAACCATGTCTCTTTCACCCTCTGCATATTTCAGTTTTGCTTCCAAAGTTGCACAAAGTGTATCGATTAAATTGGATTTGCGATCAACGTTTGCATCAGAAAACAACCCCAACCATTTAAAACCTGATAGAATTCGTTCAACTTCTTCATTTGATAGGTCTTTGACTTTAGATTTAATTTTATCACGAATATCACTTTTTAAAAAAAAAAAAAGATCTTAGAAATTTCATTACAATTAATAAAAAAGATTTTGTTTCGAGTGCTCACTGTTCAGAATTACTAGATACGCAAAGAACTTTAGCCAAAACATCTCTCTATTACACGTGTAAATAGATATGTTCATTAATCAAAAAATTAGAATGCACAAATATATATATAAACATTAACAATTACCCATGTAATATCTGGTGAACTGGGAAGCAAATAATCTTTTTCAGAATCATCAAACATTCCAATATCAAGTAAAACTTTAGCAAAATTGGTAAAACCCTAAAAAAAAAACTCGCATGGTTAAAAAATACATGTACACACATATATTCTATTTAATAAAATAAAATGAAATAAAATACCTGGTAACGTAAGGTACCACGTAAAATTGTTTTTGCTTCAGGGATTTTATAAAATTCTCTAAAAGGTGTAGAATCACGATTGGGATAACAGAGAAATGCAAATGCTGGATAAATTAGATATGGTTTTGCTGATTCCATAAGTTTATTTCCTGGAATTTCTACAACCTTATTAATTTTAAAAATTCAAGTTATTCAACTTTTTTTAATATCATTGAAATTAAAAAATAAATTCCAAATATATACTTTTCCATCTTGATAATATTTAGCTGCACTTCTTAATGCCAATAGAACACCACGAGCAAACCAACTAAATTTATAACCAAGAGGATTATTTGAAGCTTCTGGAGCTGGAAGTCCACCACAATATGAAATGAATGATAAAATCTAAAAAAAATTAATAATTATAATTATTTTGTTACAGCGTATGTTATTACTTTATTTTAAAATAAAAATGCTTGCCTTTCCACCAACTTCATGAACTTCATTGATAGTTTTTACGGCATAAAGATGATCAATTCCTATCGATTATAAAACCAAGAGGTTATTATTATTATTATTATTATTATTATTAAAAATCAACCAATTATTTATTTATTTTGGAAAATTTATTCTCACCAGGATCAAGACCAATTTCATTCATGACTATAATCCCATTTTTCTTGGCTCTAAAATATTATCATATATATATATATATATGATATTTAGTAATAATAGAATAACCGTAATGAAATAATATCATTTGTAAACTTACTCTGCATCAAATTCTTTCATAGCTGGTGACACATAGCTAGTGGTTACCACATGTTTCTTATGTTTTATAGCAGATTTAATCACCAAAGGATGATATTGATAAGGTATCAAACTAAAAGATGATAATTGAAATTTTATATAAGGCTCGATGCAAAAGAAATCAAAAAAAAAAATCCTCACCTGATTATCAAGTCATGACTAGAAACAATTTCACCAAGAGCCTTTTCATCTGTCACATCAAGCGATACAGGAGTTGCACGAGAAAACTTTTGACACAGTGATTGAGCATTAGTTATACGTCTACAAGCTAAAATAATCAGGCAAATTTTTGAAGCGTGGGTTAATAAAAATCAATAAATTTATTTCAATAAATAATTAATCTTTTCTAATTTGTACCAATGGTTAATTTATTTTCTGGTCTTCTCAGGATATATTCAACTGCTGGTCCAGCAACGAACCCAGATCCCAATAGTAAGATTTTTCTATTCTCCAAAATTAATTCTTTTTAATAACAATAGTAATAATATTAAAAAAAAATAAGAATAATTAAAAATTGAAATTTGATATTTTTACTTTTCGTTGTTCATAATTTATTTTTTTTAAATCAAAAGCTAGTTTGGATAGATAATCTTTGATGATCGACATAATCTAAATAACAATTTTCTAATCATTTATTTACATGGTAGTTTCGAACAGGAAATAGATTATGAGCTTGAAAATATATTGTTAATACAATTAGTAATAATCAACGAAAAATTCCAACTCTTGTAATGTTAAGTGATCTCACAGATATAGTCAAATTTAACGAGTTAATAATTGTATGTAGCTGACAATGACATGGCACTGTTAATGGTAGTAATATTAACAGAAATGGTATATAGTATCTCTTCTCCTAATACTAATGATAGATCTAGTTTTAAATTTCGATATCATCTCGTCAATTCGATACATCTTGTAGTGGGAAAGCACGCCTAATGCTAATACCTATGTTCACACACAGCATCGTCATCCTCATAGAAGATTGTTGATAGTTGTAGCACGTTGCTAACTAAAAGAAAAAAAATTAATGCGAAAGTTTCTCTCTCAAAGTAACAAAAATTTTTAAGGGGAGAAACTTTACCTGAAGATAACAACATTCAAACATTATATGTAAAGATTATAAGGTCAAAAAAGTCCACACTCCTAATAATAACACTACTAGAATAAAAGACGGGGGTGTGGCCCGAAGCCAAACAATCAGATGTGCAATAGAAAAAAACAACAAAATTTGTGATATGATAGATGGCATGATCTCATAAGTTTATTAATATTAATATAGGTTTTTTGGTTGAGCCGAGGGGCAGCACGCAAACTGAAAATTCAATTCCCAGAATGAAATTGAGAAGATTCAAAGCAGGCTTCATCATTGAGTTTGCAGGAAAATAATCACGTATCACAGACGGCACCTTTTTGCCCTTTTTTAGCGACATTTATACTGAAATTTATATTTTGCAATAAGATTCTTTCACCTAGAGATCAGACTCGTCAAAAGCTCTTTACTCTTGGTGCTCATCGCAGGTTTGATCGCATGTATTCAATTAACAAATAAGCAAGATTATCTTGGTATTTATCAGAAATCTATGTAAAATTCATGTATTAATATATACATCTTTTTTAAAACAAGTTTTCCGTATATTTTTGAATTATAAATAAATTAAATATATAGATTATTTTGTATTATTTGAATAAAATAATCAATTAATAATAATAATAATAATCAAAATATCCATAAAAGTGGCAATGATGACGATGATGACGATAATGTAGTAACAATTAATTAGAAGAGACGTAAGATGATAAACAAATCTCATAATTCATAATTAATCGCCACCAGGATCGAACACTTTTGTCACTTAAATCCCCCCCCCCCCCTTTTGCATCTAACCCCCGCCATTGCAAGAAACATAATCTATTCTCGTACCACCTCTTTCTTATATATGTGTCATATCGCTTTCGATCGTTGATTATTTTGCTCTTACTTTTTTATCATTGGCAGTCAAAATTCCTTCCTCCGAAAAAAAGTCAGCCAAGATTGTATTTAATAATAAAACATTCTGTATTAGGGATGTCCACCGAAACTAAATACTTTCGGTAAAATTTTCGGTTTTGGTTCAAAAACTGAAAAAAATTTATAATAAATTTATTTATTTTTGACAATGGTACGGTACATATATTAATAATATAAAACGAAAGGAATTATTTTAATCTTATGTGGCAGTTATTTGAATTAAAAAAATGAGATAATTACAATATGTTTTGCATAATTACATAATTCTAAATAGAATCAAATTAGAAATTCATGAATTATTGGATGACCTTCTTTAAATGTTTGGATATACTTGCAAAAAGAAGTGAGCAAAGGACATTATTCTGCCAAGTGTCACTATTGTGTCAAATTTTTTGATGAGAAACATCTGGTAAAGGAATGTGGTGTAGTAAATCAAATTTCTTCTAATAAACAAGAACAAAACATTAATCACATAAAGGAATGATAATATTGATGGGGTATTAATCGGGGCATTTATAACGTGTTGTATATCTTTTAATGTTATATTTTATTGAGTTACTTGGATAATGTAGACCTGCCTACACATCACCTAATAGAAATGTAAATCTCAGGAAGACTTGTTGATACAGAAGTGACTAATATTAATACCAAAATTAACCTGCAACTTGTGAAGACACAAATAATTATAAAACAAATGATATAGATAGTGGTTATGATAGTTATGCAGATGATGAAAACCAAAACGAAAGAAAAAAAAACTAGGATTAATTATAATGATTTTTTGATAGTAATAAAATAAGCGATGTTTAGTCAAATGTATTCATAGTTGACTTTCGAAAAGGGAGGGTTTCGGTGGACATCACTACACCTATTCCTTCCAATTTGGAACTTGATTGCTAAAACTTGTTACGTTTTTTCGACAGAAACACTCAATCATCAGCAAGAAATTGATTTAATTCTTCCTTATTAAATGTCGGCAATGATTGTGGTGAAATTGGTCCCGGATCCTTTTAAGGCTGAAAAAACATGGAAAAAATTGCCAGATAAATTGATTTTATAATAAATAGAAAAGTTTTTACTTCTTCATCCTCTGTTTGCCTAAGGAATGTACAAAATTAAAAAAGCCAATTTTAATTTATGTCAACTAGAATGGTTTTTAATAATACTTTGTGATTTGCTTTTGACTGGCTCCTCTTGTTCTTTTAACTTTCTCTTGGTTGTCTGGAATGTTGAAGAAATTTTTCATTTTGAATAAATAAAGAAATCTGTTAAAACATTGACGAGCATTGTACATAAAAGCTTGCAATTAATTGATAAATGTAGCCATAAAACATAAAATAGTCAATATCGACCAAAAAGTTGCCTTCGCAATATGCAATTCACATCAAATACTATTTAGTAAACAATCTTTAGCCAGTCCCAAAATGCCAGTTTTTAATTGATCTTTGGGACCAGATCAACACAACAAATGTTTTATGAGTTTTTATTTGTGTTGTGCTACTTTTTCAAATTGACAAATTAAGCTTTTCATTTACAGTAACATTGAAAATTTGCAAAAAAATTTTTCGATTTCCTCACTGTTCAATATTAAATTAAATTTTACCTCTTTTCAAAATAAATTTATAAAAAGATATTAAATAAAGTTAAAATGTCATATAATAAATTATTATCATTAGAAAGAAGTGAATTTGTATATGCAATTAATAAAGAAATGTATAATGCTCTGACTAATTCTGAAAGTCCTGAAAATGGAAAAGATTATTTTTTTTCATTAGTTGAAAAAAATAAGGAGCTTTCTGAAAATGAAAAACAATATTGTAAAGGATGGTTTATTTATAGTAGTGAATTAAATAATGTAATTTATAAAGTTGGCAAACCAAAAGAATGTAACAAGTGTAAAACAACAAGATACTCTGATAGATTCTGTGAAGGTTGCATTAGTTTACAACTACAGAGTCTTTTCAATACTTGGACATCTGGAAATAACATAATTGATAATTTTATTCAACAATGTCAAATGAAATCATCTCTGCCAACTTATATTTTAGAATGGATACCTTTTGAGCAATTTGAAAAAGTAACAAAATTAACTGAAGGTGGATTTAGTTCAATTTA